GTCCAATGTTAACCTGATGGAATAACCTTTGTAAGTAACTTGACATTTCTCTCTTGCCAATTTTAGTGTCTTTTCTTTGTCTGTGGTTTTGGCTAGTCTGATAAAGATGTTCCTTGGAGAAGATCTTGGGTTGATTCTGTTTGTGGTCCTTTGTATTTTCGGGTCTGGATATTTGAATGTCTCTCAAGATTTGGAAATTTTTCTTCCAGGATTTCATGGAATAGATTATCAATGCCCTATTATTTTCTTCACCTTCTGGGATACCAGTTATCCAGCTGTTTGGGCACTTAACGGTATTTAGTATTTCTCATGTACCGTCCTCATTCTTCTTGGTTATTTTCTCAGTCTTTTTGATAATTTTTTCTAGATTAGATGTTTTGTCTTCTACATTCAAGATTTGATCTTCTGCATGGTCTAATCTACTTTTAATACTTTTGAGGGAGTTTTTGATTTCCTATCTTATAGTCTTTATCTCTAACAATTCCGTTTGATTCTTTTTTATGGTGTATATTACTTCTTAAAAATCGTTAAAGGACTTCCTCATTTCCTGGAGCTAATAGTCTCTCTCTTTTTTAAGAGAGGTTTTTGCTATAGGGTGAGTGCGCTTGCCAGAGACAGAAAGCAAGAAATCACACACACACGCGCGCGCACACACACACACACACACCGGGGGGAGGGGGGGATGGCCATACCGCAATCCCTTCTCCATTCTCCTCTCAGGTTCTTGGGCACACATGCACCCATGCCCGGTGTGAGTTTAAGCCATTGGGTGTGGGACTCAAACCACGGTTGACTACATGGGAGAGGAGTCCGGCAATGTAGCCATTACGCCATCTGCTGGTCTTGCTCATTGTCTCTTTTCTCTTGCATATTCTGGAGTTCATTTTCTCTTTTTTCTTACATCTCATTTAGTTTTGTCACTATTAATAGTCTGAATTGTTTATCTGACATTTCCATCAGTTTCCATAGTATTGTCTGTGAATGGTGAGGAATTGATGTTTTCCATTGGGGGAATGATATTTTCTTGGTTTCTCATATTTCTTGTGCCTCTGCAATGGTTTCTAGTCATCAGGTGAGTTATACATTTTTTCCCCTAAATTCTTCAAGTTAATTCTGAGTGTTCAAAGGTGAGCAGGAGGAGGTGATCAACGATCTCTCTGCTGCTCTACCTCCCTGGTACTCGCCCAGCAATCTGCACTGTTGTTTCTGGACTTGGATAATTCAGAGTGCTCCCAGTTTCTAGAAAACAGGTGTACCTGGGGCTGAACTGCTGAGCCTCAGTTGAGGAAGAGAAAAGGGGTCGCACATTACATGCCGCATACTTCAGGAGATGCTGTAGTCTGGGAATTCAGAGACATGTGGCAGGGGATGAACCACAGTCTCTGTAGCTCAGGGTCCCTGCTGCTCAGTGCAGCCAGGCCGGTCGCTGAGGTGGATGTCCTGATGGCATGGGGACCAGGAAAAGATGGGCTTCTCCAAGTCCCATTGAACCCACCTGAGAGTTCCAAGGAGTGTAGGGGAGGGGATGAGCCACACTGCAGCATCGCTCCCAGCTGCAGCCAGCTCACCATCAAGACTTTTTTTTTTTTAAGAGAGACTTTTACTGCTCACCAGGGCAAGTGAGAGCCAGACGGGCACTGGGCCACTCAGTGCCTCACGGAAAAAAGATGACTAAACGTGGGCAAAGGAGATCCTAAGAAGCCGAGAAGCACAACGTCATTCTTTGTGCAAACTTGCTGGGAGGAGCACAAGAAGAAACACCCAGATGCTTCAGTCAACTTCTCAGAATTTTCTAAGAAGTGCTCAGAGAGGTGGAAGACCATGTCTGCTAAACAGAAAGGAAAGTTTGAAGATATGGCAAAGGTGGACAAAGCCCGTTATGAAAGAGAAATGAAAACCTATATCCCTCCTAAAGGGGAAACAGAAAAGAAATTCAAAGATCCCAATGCAGCCAAGAGTCCTCCTTCGGCCTTTTTCTTGTTCTGTTCTGAATATCACCCAAAAATCAAAGGAGAACTTCCTGGCCTATCCATTGGTGATGTTGCAAAGGAACTGAGAGAGATGTGGAATAACACTACTGCAGATGATAAACAGCCTTATGAAAAGAAGGCTGCTAAGCTGAAGAAGAAATACGGAAAGGATACTGCTGCATACTGAGCTAAAGGAAAGCCTGATGCAGCATTAAAGGGAGTTGTCAAGTGTAAAAAGAGCAAGAAAATGAAGGAGAAGGAGGGAGGCGAGGAAGATGAGGAAGAAACTGAAGGTGGTGATGATGAATAAGTTGGTTCTAGCCCAGTTTTTTTTTTCCTTGTCTATAAAGCATTTAACCCTCCTGTTCACAACTCACTCTTTTGGAGAGATTTTTGCTATAGGGCGCGTGTGCTTGCCAGACAGACAGAAAGCAAGAAATCACCCCCCAGGGGGTTGGCCATGCCACAATCCCTTCTCCTCCATTCTCCTCTCAGAATCTTGGGCATGCACGCACGCGCGCCCAGAGTGAGTTTAAGCCACTGGGTCCGGGACCCAAACTGTGGTCGACTACATGGGAGTCCAGCGACATAGCCATTACACTAACTGCTGGTTCCCTTTAACGTAAGAGTTTTGAGATTTACCCGTATTGTTATTCCTGTTATTGCTGAGTAACATTGGAAGACAACATTTTGTTTATTCATTCACTGGTGGATGGACATTTGGGTTATTACCAAATTATGATGATTAGGAATAAAGTTTCTATAAACAGTTCAGACTTTTGTGTGGCTTCAGGTGTTCATTTTCTTATGCAAATACCTCTTACTAAAATTGCCCAGTCATATGTGGGGGAGTGTATTTGGAACTTTATAAGAAACTGTCAGCCTGCTTTCCACAATGTACCATTGCATTCCCACTGCTTGCGAAACAAACAATAATCATTGCACTTGTGAATAAAAACTGTTACAGCTCTTTTGGAAAGCATTTTGGTAATCTGAATTAAGTCATTAAAAGTTGATTCTCTCTGACCTTCAAGAAACATCTTCATGAAAAAACTGAACTATGCAATATTTGCTAAAATGCCATTCGTAAGAGAAGATTGCAAAGGTGTTCAAAAAACTCATGAAAAATGCGTATTATGAAAAAACTTAATTTCACAATGTTTTTTGTAAAAAAAAAATTCTTTAATTCTGTTTTTCACCAACATTTTGAGGTATCTATATATATCACAACTGTTATCTTTGGTTTAAAAAAAAAAATCAATGATGGGACCAGCAGCTGGTGTAATGGCTATGTCACTGGACTTCCATGTAGTCAACCGCGGTTTGAGTCCCGGACCCGATGACTTAAACTCACGCTGGGCGCATGTGCGTGCATGCCAAGATACCAAGAGGAGAATGGAGGCAAAGGGATTGTGGTGTGGCCATCCCCCCTGGGGGGGGGATTCCTGCTTTCTGTCTCTCTGTCTCTCTTTGTCTCTCTCTGTCTTTCTGGCGAGCACACTCCCTATAGCAAAATCCTCTAAAAAAAAATTTAAAAGGTACATAATGATTAAATGTAAAACAAAATTTTTAATCAAAAAGTAGTATAACATTGCAGTAAATAAGTTTTTAAATATGTTTTCTATTAAGAGAAGCAGCAGTAGGGCTAAATACATGGATGAATTCAGCAAGGTATTTTTTTCTTGAAATTACCAGCTGAACTTTCTATTGAAAGTAGTTAGATTATTTAAGAAATTGTGTGATCAATAAAATGTGGGGGGAAAGGAATGAAAGACAACTGTAGACACCAGAGATAGTGTGAGAAGAGGGTGGGAAAGG